CCCCCGGGTTACCAAAGATGCGCAGGCTATTTGGGAGCTGAGACGGAATGCGAAATGTCGGCGAATAGAACCTGCTTCACTCTTCTGGCTGCTGGACGGGTGTACGGAAGCACGGCAACGGCTGCCGAAGATTTACGAAAAGCTGACGAAGATACCAGTCGGTAACGGAGCAACAATCTGCGCTGAAAGGAGGAAGCAGACAGGGAAATGCCATTAGAACATGTCAGACAACGCTCCACGGGAACCATGCCGACAGTTGGTGCTCACAGTCAGAGAGTGGAACATCTCCTCACTCCGAGATTAAGCAGAGCTACTTGATGAGATTCCAAAGGACCGATTGGGCATAATTAGACATTCGTCAAAACGCCAGGAATCTGGAATTCTGAACTTCTGCAGGTGGTAGCATTCAAGCACTATTTCCACGACAGGACTCATGAAAGTGCCGACGTCCTGGTGGAACCATACAGAGTTGACAGAATTACTAAATAGAAGAATATCTGAGAATCTTCTGAGTAAGAGGAGAAGCATGGAAATGGTGGAAAAGTTCACGTACGTCGTGGAATTGGGTTCTACCAGTATTAGTCCAAACCGTTGTGACTAAAGCAGAGCTGAGTCTGAAATCTAGGTTATCTTTCTTCATGTAGACCATTTCACCTATTGCCAAGATTTATGGGCTATAACTGAGAAGCGCTGAAATGGGCTTCCGAGAGGGATCGCTGGGCTCACGTGTCTCGACATGGTCTGAAGATCAGATAAGAGAGAAAACCTTGGCATACGTCCACTGCCTCTTCAAATTGTTCAGTCACAGATACGATGGCTTAGACACGTTTTGTAAATGTCGAAATAAGTACTAGGTGCTCAGCCGATAGACCGAAGACTCTGGGCGCCAAAAATAACCTGAAGTAAGTACCTCTCAAAATTTTTGTCCCAACTCGGGATTTCTTTTGCCGACGGTTAAACGCTCGCACAGGACGGTAACCTTTGCGATACTGATTGACGCGTCTATTTCTGCCATCCGAAAAGATGAAGGGCCATTGAAATTGATGGACTAACATTCGTGAAATTTGCAACTTTAGTAGCATGAATGCTGACATTTTTGCATTCGAAAGTGCTTTCTCGGATCCGAGGCGAATCACTTTTATTAACGAATGGCATTTGAATGGCAACGAATGGCATTTTACCAAAGTGAAAAATTAATTTGCTGCTTACAGGTGTTACTTTGTTTTGTTTTATAAGGCAAGTATCATCGCTACCTCGACAAATGTGAGGTAAAATTCGACTGGAGAATAGAGACGGTCAACGGCATTCTTCAAGAACTTGTTCGAACTGTTGTAGCTGAGGCAGTGTTGAGTCTGTTGACGACATTCGAGAGACTCTTTTGCATGGAAATAATTTTTTTCGCACTGAGAAGTCAGAGGTTCAATTCACTGGGAACCTTTTGCGATTACTCCTAGAAAGGAAGAGGAAACAGCTCTTTCGTGTTCATCCGACCGACCAGTAACTTTGGAGATGGCCAAAGATAGCTTTTGGTAATTGTCTTGAAGGAATTCTCTTCAGATGCACGCTATCACATGCCGAAGCTCTGATGCTGGCACAGGGTCGAAAAATTGGGAAGGTTGAGGACATTACCTGATGCGTCTACTTCCGGGACCTGAAAGCAGTCATAGTAACTGATGGTTTAACCGAAGGCATCACTCTCCTTCTTACAGAAGTCCAGATAGACATTTAAGCAAGCTTTAAATGTATTATAACACCTGCAGTGCACGAATGATAAACGGTATTATTATTTCTTATTGTCCTATCTTAATCACATAAATTAATTGTTCTAGCTCGAATAAATCTCTATGAAGGACATGAGAACTGAAAGTTAGCAAAATATGTGATATTCTGATCAAATTTAAAAACCTGTCTCCTTGACTTTTAATATTGGCTTTTATTACGGATAGAAAATTACCTTTCCAAATTACAAATGTGCTCCCGAGTCATAGTCTAGCATAATAAATCCCACAGATTTTTTCAATTTTTGTTTAAACGTAATTTTCTGCACACTCCGTAGCACCGACGCGAAACAACACTGTAGGAACAAAGACCTACTAGAAAAGCAATACTGCTTCGATAATTGCTCGACAGCAGTTCTTCGCAGAATTGCCACCGAAAACAGCTTTAATTTTAGCAGCATGAATATACTAACGAAAGGTAGCTTTTGTTGCAGAAGTGCCAGTGATTCATACAATGCTCAACATCACGAACAGAAAGGAGGACGTTTATATGCCCATCGTGGCGAAACTAACGTACACTTCCGAAAAAAAGAAACGTTTGCTCATTACATCTTGACAATCCTGTATAACTGTATGGCTGCACATTGCATTTAATAAGGACTGGTAACAAAGAGTGAAACCTTTTTCTGCGTCAAAATTTTTTTCACACGTGTATATAAAGCCTTAATAGTTACTCGCGCGTTAGTCTACAGTGTCGTATATTTTTATGTATAAATGGTACTGGTAGTTGTCTGCGAACGTCTTTTGCATTACTCGGTCTACGTTGGCTCAGTGATTTGTGGACTGCGCAACAGAGGCTATAAGGTCATACGAAATGCCGTTCTTCTGATTGGCCGGATCAATGAACAAAAGCACACGGAGTTGATGGTATTTCAGGTTATGAAATCAGCATTGCATTTTGGTCATTCACGGTTGGATGCCCCAAGTCATCAGCTGCACGTAAAGAAGCAAAAACTCACCATGGAACAGCAGCACCGACTGCTGCGATATTCAGTTATGTTGACTGTGTCGAGAGTTTCGTTGGACAGAAGGACGGAAAATGTATGCGGCAAAACATGTGAAATTTGATTAATGTTTACAACGCTTCTGAACGTTAACCTGCATATATTTTAATACATTCATATATTTCCAAATAGCAACGTTATCTCCATATATTGATGATAACGAGAACTGCGTCAGTTAAATTTTAAGACGTCAGACTGATTCAGTTTCTCAAGCATATGTAATTAAAAATCGATAAAGAGTGCTGTCAAAGCACTGCAGACTTTCGTGGCTACTATAGCGGCTCAGAGGTATGCACTGCGAGGTATATGTCTAATTCATTCGGTCTGTACTTTAATCATCGCTACCTTCGTGCAAGGGATACCGACCTTGGATGACAGAACAGGAACTGGATATATTTAGTATGTACTTTTGTTCTCGATGGCGACAGAAGCACTAAATACTCATAAGTATGAAGCAATCACATTGTGCATGGTTTATGTACCAACTACCTACAGAGCTGCTTAACGATTTCACTCGGCAATACTGCAACGCTTCCTTCCACTAGATCCTTAAAGTGACCACTAAAGGTAATAGCTTTACGGCATTTCAACACTAGAAGCGTGTAGATGCAGTGCAATATCACTGAATTCGGTTGAACAATGGGCAGTCGTACGCCGACTTGAAATTGAAGCAATATCAAAATACATACCCGTAGTATATCTGATAATGCTTTTAACCTGAAAGCACTATTTTATCTTTAAAATTTGCGTTTGACACAAATCATCATCTACCAATCTGCCGTCAAAATTAGCGATGTGAGTCGTTACACCCGAATGTACAACAGCGTTGCATCGTCAAAGTATGTTTTCTGTTATTTTATTTGTCCTCGTTATGGGTGCATTTTGAAGGCAAGTTTACGCTCCGCCAATATTCTTTGTTCTCAGTTTTCTGCCTCCAACGTTGATCAAAAATTTGACCACCGGATTTTCCAGCATATCCATGGACGACATAGTGGATGTTTATGGTTCAACGAAACCTAGTTTGCAATTCTTGAGTCCGTCGCTTATCTTTTAGGAGAGGAATATGACCTGCTTTCCTTCTTTTGGCATCGTAGAAACCAAAATCACGCTACTAATCCGCCCATTGTCGAATTTGTGCTCAGAACAGGATTCCGGAGAGAAAATTTGCAGATTCTCTGGAAATCCTGTATTCTTCTTTTCTTTATCGATGAGTCTACTCGATTTCTTTTGGCATATTTTCTCTATTTCGCTCGACCCCCACATGGTAGCTACACTGATCTTGAAACTCTGACAGAACATGTCATTTCAAGCTCCTGACGGCGATTCAGTACTGATTTTCTCTCCAGAAATAACCGTTCATTTCACTTAACCCTGCCATCCTGCAAATCCTTGCATTTCGGTAAAAGATCAATAATACTGGAGTAATTACCGTGTACTTCTTCGTTCCATGTTTTCATGCTGTAAGATTTGGTCTTGTTCCGCATGTTCAAGCAGCGAAACAAACTTGCACTTATTCTGTAGTTTTAGAACAATTCAGACAATAAAGCACAATATGGCATAAGCGCTAAATGGACGATCAGCACTATGAAAACAAACTCTACCTGAGAGCAACTTACAACTTAGCCGGTAATAAATTATCCCTACCAATAATTAACGTAGCGTCTCAGCAGTGAAAAGCTATGAATGAAAAATGTAACGACATTAGGGCTCCATTATATGTTGTATATAGCGGAAACATGAACGGCACACACAGGATGGCGTTGAAATGAATCAGTTCAACTCGCTGCAATCGTTTTTCGAAAATCGACTGACTGCAATATGGACTAAGTGGCGCCATGTTATCGAGAGTAAGATAGCCAGTTTGTCTTCTTGTGGCTTTCGTTATCTTCTTCTAAGCTAGCGAAGTTTGAACTAACAAAACGGTCCACTTTTATAACGTTAGACTACTTAGAAATCGTGTTCTCAGACTGAAAGGTCCCGAAAGGTCAGGTTCCTGGTCACAAGCAGATCTGTCTCAACTATCTGTCAGGCGTTTTTTATGATCTTCCAGATCGTCTCTGGTCGATGATCACTCGGCGAAAACTTGGTACGTATTAGATATGCTTACCGGCGGTGAAGATGAAGTCAGCGACAGATGGTTTACAGAAGTAAATAATCGACGACCGTCGAGCATGCGGCCAGGTGCGACAGCGCAAACAAGAAGAACGATGACCGCAACATGGGTCCGAGTTCACCAGCGATTGGTCAGTCGGTCGCATCACCAATTCATCTACGCTGCCTGCTTGACCGTCACATCGACTTCGTAATCGGAAACCAGTCGGACGACCGGTCGGTTGGTCAATCCATTCAACAGAACGTAGCCGTCGTCACGAGCCGTCCTTTACACACGCTCTGTGCGATCATCCGGTTTTCGCAAGGGTCGACGAACTGACTGACTGCAAGTCGGCCACACTGTTTCTCCCGTTTGTGCGTCTTCATTTTTTCATGCATTATGCGGCGCATAATGCTGAAAGTGCATCTTCAATCAGGTTGGTCAGGCTCAGCAGCGAAACGACATTGAGAATCAGAGGACTGAGAAAACAAACCTAGCATAACCGTTATCCTGCGATCAGCAGTCATTTCGAATTATCATTAAAACAACGCTTATAGTAGAAAGTCCCGTAAATAGTTTAGTTTCAATCTGTCTGTCGTCATTTCTTGTGGGATTTTATAAAGCCCTTCGGTACTTGGTTCGCGAATTATAATGAAACTAAAAATGCGCCTCGATTTACCACGGGGTTAAGTTCTGACGAACTCGTTGTAAGTCAAAAACATCGTTAGTCGAACATGAATGTGATCAACATATAACTAACTAAATAACTGTTAACTTTTATGCAAGCCTTCATGCCCTTTATACAACGTTAGCAAAGGCACCACGAGAACGATACCACCAGTGGGAACTTACAGTCGGAAATGGGAATATATCCTCACTCAGAGGAAAAGTGCAGGAGTTAGCCGGAGGGACAACTCGGCATAATTGCACTCTCGTCAACGCAACGTCAAGGCTCTGAAATCCCGAACCTCTGCGGGTTGAAGCTATTCTACTCATGTGTCGATATTACAACGCGCGCTCAAGCCAGCACTGGCATTCTGGTAAAACCCAATCTGGCTGACAGCATCATTACGTTGGAGCCCATCAGTGGAGCAGTGGCGGTCCACTGGCTGAAACCACAACAGGCTAAAGCGTTGACCTTGTTACAGGTCTATGCGTCCAATTTGGAAGGAGAATATGACTATTTCCTTGAAGAAGTAGCGCCTGTTCTATACAAAGTGCCCAACACGCAACCGCACATTCTGATGGGCAATTTTAATGCGTATATCACAGTAGACGCTGAAAAATGGGAAGGAGTGATTGGACAGAACAGCCATAACAAACCCAACAATAAAGGCATCGAGTTACTGCGATTTTGTGCAACCAACAAACTGTCCATTATAAACACTTTCTTCTAGCATCGAAGAGTCCATCCGTACACTGGTGCCTGGAAGCTTGTGCACAGAAGTCGATGATCGATTTGACAATCATATCGTCTGACCTAAGACGATCAGTAATGGATGTTCGCGATAAAAGAGGCGCAGAGCCATCAACCGATCATCACCTTGTTGTTGGCACGCTGCGCTGTAAGAAATGGAGT